GAAAACCTGCAATGATGCAGTACCCACAACTTCTAGAGCAAGCTATTCTACTCATTAATTGTTCTCACTGTCCGCAAATTTCTCTTTACTTCTAGGTTGGATCTCTCTTTAATGACCTACCCTTTACTTCTTATACTGCCCTCAGGTGTTTTGGAAAATAGGTTGACCCCCTCTTCTCTGTGACAATCTCTCAAGTACTGGAAGACTAGTATCATCGCACTCCTCATCCTTCTCTTTGTTAGAGTAGACATACCCAGTTCCCTCAATCTGTATGAGACAAGAATGATCAAATTTGTTGTGAAAACCCACTATAAAAAGAATGGGCTGCCAATTTTACAAGTTGGTTATAGATATGTTTTCCATGGCATAAACTATAGCCTTTGGCTCATTCATATAAACCAAAGTATGAGTCTGTTACCAAAGCTGTAACCTTTTATTATATATGCTGAGATGATTCACCCAGGAAGTATTTTTATTGCTCCTTGAAGCATAACAGAGCGGACAACATGACTTTTGAACCTGTTTTCCTTTATTTCAGCAGTTATTGATAGGAGGTAATCCAAATTACAAATAATATTTAAGAAGGAAAGGAAAACAAGCATTTAACATCTGATGGACTCAGGTCAAATTGATCTGGTTTTCAATTGTAGTACATGATTAAAATGGAAAATCAAACAGATGGTAACAAAATGTAGGAAAGAAAAGTGTTTTACCTAGTCACCTTTTTCTGTGTGAAGTGTCATATTGCAGAACATTAAACACTCATCCCTTATGAAAATATGCTATCTTAGAACTGAAAAATATATCCTAGGCAGGTGTTCTTTATATGCAATTAAAGAGTAACCTGGTTGGTAGAGAACAACATAAAAAATAAGAGGCATTTTCTAGATGAGACTCATCCAGATTAGTATTCTGTTGTCCTAAAACCCAAATCAACTTGGTTTTAAACTCTAGTCCACTCGTGAATTGATAAAACAAGTAGCATCAAAGTAGAAATGTTATATTTTATTTTATATTTCCATATATTTGATCTATTTCATAATCCATCGATCACTAAGATTGCTCAGGATCCTTTGCTGAGTAAAAAAAATCTTCAGAATATCAGATTTACAAAATTGGAAGGGACCTTGGAAGTTTGGTCTTCTAGTCCAACCCCCTGTTCAAGCAGGAGAGGCCATACCAGTGATGGCGAACCTTTTTGCCATCATGTGCCAAAAGCGGGAGTCGTGCAGGGGTGTCACACGCAGGGGCGGGGTTGCACGTGGTCTATGCACACACCCCATGCACACACCCTATGCACACACCCCATGCACCCCACGCAATGACACGGTGGGCCCGGTAGGCCCGTTTTTCGCCCTTCCCAGGCTCCAGAACCTTTCTAGGAGTCTGGGGAGGGCAAAAACAGCCTTACCCCCCCCAGGGCCCCCCAGAGGACAAAAACAGCTTGTTTCCTGACTTCTGGCGGGCCCAGAAGGCCTGAATATCAGTTGGTCAGCGCGTGCATGCACGCCGGAGCTGAGCTCGCGTGCCCACTGATATGGCTCCACGTGCCACCTGTAGCACTCGTGCCGTAGGTTTGCCATCAAGGGCCTATACCATTTCAGACAAATAGTTGTCCAATCTCTTCTTAAAAACCTCCAGTGTTGGAGAACACACAACTTCTGGAGGCAAGACATTCCACTGATTAATTGTTCTAACTATCAGAAAATTTCTCCTTTGTTCAATATTGGCTTTCTTCTTGATTAGTTTCCATCCAGTAGTTTCCTTGCGCCACCATTGCTATCGGTTCCCTGAACCACCTGCCACAATCGCTACCAAATCGCCTGATCTGGTCCAAACCGGGAGCATTTCACCACTGGTCCAGAGGTGGGTTTCAGCAGATTCTGACCAATTCTGGGGATCCGGTAGCGGAAATTTTGAGTAGTTCGGAGAACCGGTAGTAAAAACTCTGACTGGCCCCACCACCATCTATTCTCTGCCTCCCAAGTCCCAGCTGATTGGGAGAAAATGGGGATTTTGCAGTAACCTTTGCCTGGATTAGGGAGGGAATGGAGATTTTACAGTATCCTTCCCCTGCCACATGCACCAAGCCACAACCATCAAGCCACATCACGCCCACCAAGCCACGCCCAGTAAAAAAAATTTGGATTTCATCCCTGCATCAGATGGATAGTTACATAAATTGTTCTTATTGTAGTTTTAGTGTCAGGGATTGGAAGAGGTTCTTATCATATTTCCCACCTCATAGACTAAAATAATTCACTTAGTTTTGTGCCCTTGACCTAGAACAAAACATAGTTTATGTTTTGAGGATAACTCTCTGCCTCAAATAACGAAATATATTGAACCAGCCTTGAGTGGAAATTCCAAGTATTGTAAAATATCAGACCCAGTGAGATAGTTTGTCTTTAGAAAGAAGCCATGAAAGTGTGGCCCTGAGAATCACAAAGTTAGGAAAAAACTCTGAAAAGATCTACTTCTGATGAGGTATTTTGGCCTGAGGCCGGCAAAGATCATTGATGTATGTCAAGGTTATAGTATATTTTAAAGATATAAGATATATAGCATCTTTCCTTTCAATACATGCATGAGAATAAAATCACAGAGGCTTCTCTCAAACCTCCCAGACTGTACTTAAACGCAAATAAACTTCCTACTTTGCAGCCCGATACAGTATATCTTACTTGTGAGAAAATCTCAGTGAGCTTAATAGGGGGTTATTGATTAGCTGAAGTAGTAGAGGTTTGTCATGATGAACATTTAAGTGTGCCCAGACCTGCAGTAACATTCATCAAAGGATTATAATGGGCAGGTTCTAGATAAAACCTGGATGGCACTTCTGCATTGAAACAAATGGCTCAATTGCTTTGCTGCTCAAGGAGACAGTCTCATCTCCTCCCTTTCTCCTTTTTTCACTGGCTGCAATGACAGGGAAAATTTTTTTTTTGTCTTTAAGCTTTCCTTGACTGCCATAAGAGTAAATGAAGCAAACAAAGAGAAGAGAAGACCAGTTGGTGGCTGCCCATCAGACAGAATGAGCCATATATCCAAATTTACAGAAGGTAATTCTCCATCCGAAACACTATCTAGTCCAAATGAAAGTTCTGTGAGGGAAAAAAAAAGATGGAGACTCTATAACCCTACCTGATGTTGTTGAGGACCAACTCCAGCATCCCTTATCATTGACCCAGATGGTGGGAGCTTCTGAAGTTTCAGAATACCACTGAGAGAAATGGGGTCCTTAAAGTTGCCCACCAGGATAATAAGCTGAATAACAAACTGAAAAGATCTCCCAGGAACTTGGTCTCAATGATTCCTTCTAATTCTACTGAAATTAAAGTAGTTATTTTTAAATTTGCAATTCTATTTAGGCAGCAATATATATAAAAAAGTGAGTACACCCCTAAGTGATAATGTCCAAATGGGGCCCAAAGTGTCAATATTTTGTGTGGCCACCATTATTTTCCAGCACTGCCTTAACCCTCTTAGGGGTGTACTCACTTTTGTTGCCACCAGTTTAGACATTAATGGCTGTGTGTTGCCTTATTTTGAGGGGACGGCACATTTACACTGTTATACAAGCTGTATACTCACTACTTTATATTGTAGCCAAGTGTCATTTCTTCAGTGTTGTCACATGAAAAGATATACTTAAATATTTACAAAATATGAGGGGGTGTACCAGTGCTGAAATCCATTTTTTTTTACTACCAGTTCTGTGGGCGTGGCTTGGTGGGCATGATGGGTGTGGTTGGTGGGCGTGGCAGAGAAAGGATACTGCAAAATCTCCATTCCCAACCCACTCTGGGGCCAGCCAGAGGTGGTATTTGCCAGTTCTCTGAACTGCTCAAAATTTCCACTACCGGTTCTCCAGAACCTGTCAGAACCTGCTGGATTTCACCCCTAGGGTGTACTCACTTCTGTGACATACTGTACATATATACACATTTTTTCAACCTAACTTTTTGAGGGGCAGAGATAACCTTGTTGTTGTTCGATTGGATAAGTGGTCATCTCACTGCTGTGTAGTGAGATGAATTCAAGGACGGGTTTCAAAACCGGTAGCTACCAGTTTGCTCGTGGGTGCGCTCCTGCTCACACATGATGCTTCTGCGTGTGTGCAGAAGCATCCAGGCAGGTGGGCAGAGCCTCCTGCCACCACCACTACCGGTTTGCCTGATCCGGGGCGAACCGGTAGCAACCCATCACTGGATGAATTGACTTGTTCCAGGGGATAGGGAGTTAAAGAGAAGGGTGGGAACTAAAATCTAGATGGTATATTAGGTTCTAGCAGGTCCTACTCTACCAAGATTGAATCTATATGCCCAATAAGGTAAGGGTCAAGAAGGTCTGACTCAAGTCCCTCCTAAGCAGGAGATTATGGACAAGAAGAGAAACCTCTTTAGTTGTGGCCCCCATTTTGTGAAACTATTGATCCCAGGAGTTTCAGGTGCCTCCTGAATTCTACTGTTCCAATTAGGTATTGAAAACAACTAAATCTTGCTAGATTTTCAACTTCAGATGTTTTGTGATGCACAACTGGGAAGAGGTCTTTTCCCCCTTTAATACAGTTTAAATGCCATTAACCCTGCATGTGCTTTTGGAACAGTTTTTGGGCTCTGAGACCAAGCACACCCTGAGGTTGGGGAAAATACCTGTCTTTCCAAAACTAAAGTGGGAAGCTCCCTTTCTTTTATGCTTTGTTTCAAACATAAACTGCTCCAGGCGTTTCAGCAGAAGCCATAAATAACTAAATGGACCCATAATGGAGGTGTGGATGGGGGACCCAAAGGTTTGGGGGAGAGGACGAGTTTGCCTGCGGGAGTTTATGATTAGCCTTGGAATTCTGCCACCCCAGCGTCTACCTGGGCAGAACATTTCAAAGCCCTTAAATATTGGGCAACACACAGTGTCCATGTGGACTTTGTGCTGCCTGATTATGGTGACTTCATCCTGTTAACACAGCAGTGTTTAAAGTCCACCACAAAAGCACGCTCAAAATACCTCCAGTCTTGTTATCCCGATCCCACTGGCACCGCTTCTGTTCCTGGAGTTTTCCTGGGACCAATTTTGTTTTGTCCAACTTCAACATGAAGCTGTTCATCGGGGCACTGATTCTGTGCTTATCTCTGAGTCAAGGGAAATGCACTGAAGAAACCATGCAGGATAACGTCATCCCTCCTTCTCCATTGCCGGAGGAAAGCTCCTATTCCGACTGGGGAATTGGGACCATCCGAGATAGCATTGACGCTGTTAATGGCTATTTTGACTTTGTCTCAGAGCTGTTAGGAGGGAAGAATGGAGTCTGTCAATACAGGTGCAGATATGGTAAGTATTTCTGCTGCTGCTCCTTTCATGTCCAGTCCCTGATTGCACAACATTGTTATTTTGTGTTGGCAGTTGCTGTTTCCCTACACTAGACAATGTTTCCTTGTTTTGTTTGACTAGATGCTTTAATGATGAGTAATTGACCAAGACACTGTATTTTTACCAGGGGTGAAATGCTCCCAGTTTGGACCAGATCGCCTGATCTGGTAGTGATGGCGGCGGGTGGTTCGGAGAACCGGTAGCAAAAAACTCTGCGCTCCCCCCCCCCATGCCCAGCTGAACCGCACAATCATCAGAGCCGTTTTTTTTTACTTTTAAAAGCATATTTTCTACAACCTCTTCCGACGAAAAAATGCTTTTGAAAGTAAAAAAAAAAAATCCTCTGATGATCGTGCGGTTCAGCTGGGATCATCAGGGGCTTTTCAAAGCATTTTTTTCTGCAACCTTTTGGCCGAAGAGGTGGTTAAAAAAATGCTTTGAAAAGTCTCTAACAATCCCAGCGGAGTTGCCTGATTTTAAAAAAATACCTCTCTGCCGATCAGGCAACTCAGCTGGGATCGTCAGAGAGGTATTTTTTAAAAAGCCTCTCTGACGATGCCAGCTGAGTTGCCTGATTTTAAAAAAATACCTCTCTACCGATCAGGCAACTCAGCTGGGATCGTCAGAGAGGTATTTTTTAAAAAGCCTCTCTGACGATGCCAGCTGAGTTGCCTGATCGGCAGAGGCTTTTCAAAGCATTAGAAAAAATGCTTTGAAAAGTTAAAAAAAAAAAAGTTGGCCACGCCCACCATCACATTACCCCACCACCACCACCAAGCCACGCCCACAGAACCGGTAGTAACAAATTTTACATTTCACCCCTGCTCTATTATCATGAACATCGTTATATATTTCATCCACAAGAATGGATGTATCTTGGTATTCCTTTAAATATCATATTTGTAGTTCCATTTATTCCATTTATTCTAGCAAAACAACTAATACTAAACAGCATTACTTTTCGGTTGCAAAGACTGGGATGCGTATCATTTTTCTAACAAGTTGTCTTGTTTTCTAACAAGTTAGAACTATCCCCTGTTAGAAGGGGATAGTTGTCTTTACAGTATGCTTCTGTAACTAAAATGTGGTACATTGGCAGAACTCTCTCCAAATGATTGTTTATTTTGCCTTACTAATTGAATTGTTCTACTTCCCATACATTTTAAGGAGCTAGATTTGTCAACATGCCTGCTGATTTTCTGTACTAGGTGGACTTTTGAATGCTTTCTAGTTTTGTAGGATCACTGTACATCCTCCACCCTCAACCTACAACAGTGGGAAAAATGGGGTACTGTTTTACACAGCCGAAGGGTACAAGGTTGAGAAAGAGTAATTAGATGATGCACTTATGGAATTCAGTTTTCAAACACTGGTCTAGAACAGTATGGATTCCCATAGACCACATGTAATTCTCCTTTCTTCTTGCATCGACCCATAATCCCTGTCTTTTTTTTTTACCTCTCACATAATGACCACCCATCATCTAAGAAATGGGTAACACACCACTGATTTCATTGCAAAGAGCAATGAAAAACAGTGACAATAATCAGGATGGCAAGGGAGGGAGGGCTTCTTAGCTAGATGTGTGAGTGAGTGAAAGAGTGGATGTATTCTATAAATATGTGTGTGGGCATGCATTCACACTGGTTATGTCCCTATCCATCAGCCCTCCTCAATTGTGCATTCTGTGAATGGTTTCTCAGTTTAAAATCATTATATGTTCCCCATCCATTCAAAAACCCAGAAGGCTGTCTATCATAGGTTGAGGGAAATCATTTGCCCCGGCTAGCCATGTGGATTTAGGGCCCAAGTAACTTCTGGAATGGCAAATTTTTCCATGTGATGCTGTCAAGACTGATTTTTTTTTTTAGAATGGAGAATCACATTCCATTCTTCTCCCTGGACAAAAGCTAAAAATGAATTTTTGGATCAGTAAAATTAATGCACACACAGGTCCTTGTGATGCATACCTAGTCCCCAGAGGTGAAATCCAGCAGGTTCTGGAAAACCGGTAGTGGAAATTTTGAGTAGTTCAGAGAACCGGCAAATGCCACTTCTGGCTAGCTCCAGAGTGTGGGGGGGGGGAATGGGGATTTTGCAGTATCCTTCCCCTGGAGTGGGGTGGGAATGGAGATTTTGCAGTATCCTTCCCCTGCCACACCCACCAAGCCACACCCACCATGCCCACCAAGCCACACCCACAGAACCGGTAGTATAAAAAATTAGATTTCACCACTGCTAATCCCTTGTGGCTGTGAAACGGTGACAGAAAAAAGCACCGATAATCTTGTTGGATGCAAAGTATTACATCCTTGTTCTTTCTTTGTTCTTCTGGTTTGCTTGATAATGTATATTGTTTTAATTATACTTTCTACACTCCATTAGCTTCTGAAATTGGTACTAATGAATTCCCCAGCCACTGTTAATCAACGTCTTACTTCTTTCTTTTTCCCACTCATATGGCTAATAATTATTTACTCTGACTTCCTTCCCTTTTACTTTAAGGTAAAAAAAAAACATTTGATTCACACGTAGACATGCCCAGGTATAGAGAAGATTCAATGCCAGTTCTTACATTATCACAATAAAAAAGCATGTTATTCTAATATCCTTGTTAAAGAGCTGAGATTGCTTAGGGTGAGTTATATTTTAATTGCCTCATTTACATGATGGCAATATGCTCTGTATACCACTCTCCTTGAAAAGTGTTTGAGACACTACAGATGGTGCAAAGTATAGCATTTTGGCTTTGATCAGAAGAGTGTTTTGAAGATCATGTTGGAACAACTTTACCAGCTTCCAGTTATTTTTTTGACATAAATCAAGTTGTCCCTCTTTTTAAGCTATGAAATCAGTGGAGTCAGCTCTAGGGTAGCTGAAGGATCATTTCCTTTCTTATTAAATTACATTACCCATAACCTATTATAATTATCATCAGCCTTGATCTAAGTTCATGTCTTTGGCAGGATCTACTGTACATTGGAATCCCTTTTGAGGTGCTATTTCTCTGAAATACAATTGCTAATCAGCAGGCATCTATACTGAACTATTTAGCACAACATCCACTGTGCTTCAAACATGAGCATAAGACTCATGTTATATGGTATTATAAAGCCTTTTACTTCGTCTTTCACAGCCAGTAGTTCTGCTGTTGTGTTTGTTTGAAAGGTCTGTTAAATAACTCGAAATGTGCAGATCTGTTCATAGAAACAAAGTTTTAACCTTAAAATGGTTAATGTTAAACTTTAACTGTGTGTTTGTGCACGGGGTTATATATCTGTGTTCCTGTTCCTTTGAATAGCTCAAAATATTATTTCTCAACCTGGCAACTTTAAGACGTGTGGAACTTTCAGAATTTCCCCTAGTCACCCTTCTCAGCCTTATGACTCTGGGTGGCAAGCTGCAGTTAAAAATATAAAAATAGTGGCAATAGCAATAGCACTTATATACCGCTTCTCAGTGCTTCACAGCCCTCTCTAAGTGGTTTACAGAGTCAGCATGTTGCCCCCCAACAATCTGGGTCCTCCTTTTACCCACCTCGGAAGGATGGAAGGCTGAGTCAACCCTGAGCCGGTGAGAATCGAACTGCTGACAGTCGGCAGAATTAGCCTGCAATTCTGCATTCTAACCACTGCACCACCACGGCTCTTGATATATTGCTATTAGTAATAATATGACACTGAATACAAATTGGCAGTTGAGGCAAAAAAAATATCACAAGTATGAGCATCCCATCCCATCCACATGTGCTATGGCATAATCAAGTCTTCAGAGACCAGCAGGATTGGGGCTAATCTTCTTTCTGGAGAGAGTGGATGCGTAATACAATGTGTTGATGACTTTGGGAAATGAGAGGAATGCCACCCTAATTGATCAAATGCTTAAAAGTGGAAGTGGGAAGTCTGTACTTTCACTTTTGCCGGGTTTATGGATTTATTCGTGTCAGAGGCATCATTATTAAAATTTTATACATAGGTATAAATGCAAACATAAGAACAAAAATTTTTAAAAGTATAAAAGCCTGATTTAAGCTGTGTTTGTCTAGAAGCATGCAGCCTCGATTGCATTCTGTTGCACTGTCATAACAGTACATTGGGCAGGGCAACAAGGGGCAAGCGTAGGCATGTGTGTTGTTGTCTGTAAATCTCCACACTCGCAGCAGGCAGAAGTCAACAAATATCCCCATTTATTCAAATGTCTCTTGATCTTGCTGTAGCCATGCACAGTCTATTTAACGATTGCCAAACTTCCCAGTTTTCATCATGGCCAGGTTCCAGCTACTCTGCAGGTTCCATCCAGTATTCGCCTTTTGTAGCTTGTAAGATTAACCTTGATGGAATCTTACCAGGGGTGGATTCTACTTACCTTTACTACTGGTTTGCAATGGGATTGTGCGCGTGTGCTTGCTTTGCTCGAGCAAGCGCCTTGCTTCTGCACATGGGAAGATCACTTCTGATGATGTCAGGGTCAGTGGGCGGAGCCTCCCGCCGGTTTTACTACCGGTTCTATAGAACCGGTCCAAACCGGGGGCAACCCACCACTGAATCTTACCCCAAGGTAGAATGAATTCGTTCATCTAGTCGTGCTTCTGGTCTAGTAGTAGGACTGATATCAATCTTGCAACTCTGAAAATACAAACTTCCCGCCGTCACTTTTAACTGCTTGATCCATTAGATTGAGTTCTTCCCATGTTTCTTCCTCTGATCATTAAGCCACTGGGGGCTTCTGGTTCTCTTTTCTGATTGTTTCCTAGACAGCATCTCTTCCCCTCAGTCCCCAAAGCCATCAACACATTCTGTCACAGGGCGCCACAACAGAAAAAGCTTTGTCTTGCCAGATGGCCTTTTTAAAAAAATAGATATGCCTCTCCCACCAGATCTGATGGGATGAGGAGACACAATCAGGGAGACATGGTCCCTCAGATACATCTACCTTTATTGCTGTATGATTTGTATGCTCTA